AAAGATCATTAATACAGTACCATCATAATTTGATTGCAATTATAAAAAAACTAAAAAAAATAGATTAATGAAACGATGGATCAACGAAAGGATAAAGAATCTACGACACTTCCAAATTCTGCTACTTCTTTTTCAGAATTTACTACGAACCAAAAGAACACAAAAACGTGCCTTTTTTATTTGCGGCGAATAAGTAGTTAGATAATAAGTATAAGATATTGATTATGCATCGACAAATAACGTGAAATTTGTCGATGCATAACCAATATCTTATACTTATTGGATGTGAAGCATCTAATAACTACCGTAAAATATGAAAAATAAGCACAGCACCCTCTACCTATTTCCGTTAATCTGAAATTGAAAAAAGCAGGGTAGAGGGTGCTGTGCTTAATTTCCATATTTTATGGTATATATTATTAGTGGCATTATAATTATTTAATTCGACGTATAACAGAGATTTATGTTTGGTAATATAGGTTGTTGTTTTTTTATACTATATAAATTTTAGTTATATATCTTTAAATTTTGTAATTAATATCATTAGCCGTTATTAGCCAGCTGATTAGACTATTAGCTAGCTAAGCGGCTAAATTAATCGGTTTGGAACGCTACTAAAATGCACGTATACCCTTTAATTTATATTTACCAGAATTAATACGAATAAAAGAAAATTAAATAGTAAATACAGTATTGATAAATTTAAATAGCTCATTAAACATGAGTTTTCTTCATAATCATTTCTTAATGCGGAAGAATGAAATTAAATACATGTAAAAAATTCATAACAGATAAGACAAATGTTTATAAGATATGAATCGCACAAAAGTATGTGATTCAGATCGATAGTTCGCGAGGTAATTAATTTTGTGATGAATTTTTTTATGTCCTTTTCCCAGCACCAAGCCCACATATAGAAAGTTCCACAGACAAGACGAATGAATTCCCTTTTAAAGACTACCTGGAAAACTGTACAGTACACAATACAGTTTAATTCAAACACCACTCGCAATTCCTTCAAACTTTTCTTTAATTCTGATAGGTCTTTACTTCCCAAACCCAATATAGCTACGCGACTTCCTTCCAAATATTAACTCATCGAGATATCTTTTAACCGTGGCACATTATTAAGCAGTAGATAAAATAGAACTGTTAATAAGCCGGTTAAAGAATATCCCGGTGGTACAATCACAGATAATCAGTGATACGAAAGAGCTGGGAACGGAACTGTATCAGTATCAGTAGGAATAATAAGGGAGAATTAAGAACAGGGGAACTGATATCAATAAAGGATAATAAGGGAAATGAGAATTATAAGGAAAAAATTAAGGCGCAGCTAAGTTATGATAGTAACAATAGATTATCGATATGGTTATGTACTGTACATTCTCGTGATTATTGCCTAATCATTTGTAAGATCTCGTGTAACGTACTTTTATGCAACGTTAATATTAGAATTTTCTTTTCTCATGCTACTTAAATCACTTAAATCTACCGTACTCCTCGACAAAAATAATGCAAATTAAAAATAAAGTCGCAATTATAACTGGGGGCGCGAGTGGTATTGGTGCTGCTTTAGCTCGACGGCTCGTTTTAGAAGGGTTCGTCAAAAAGATAAATACTATTGTTTATTCTTCGTTTTATTTGATTTCGGTTTAAGAAAAAAAATTTTTAAATAATGTAGTGCACAAGTAGTTATTGGTGACATTGACAAAAAATTGGGCCAAGATCTCGTAATTGAATTGAACCAAAAGTATTAAATTCAGAAACTTTTTATTTCAACACATTCAAATAATAATAAATCATTTTCATATTGCACGATCTAGCAATAAAAAGAATGCGATCTTTGTCTTTTGTGATGTTGCAAATTTCGATCATCTATGTCAATTGTTCGATACTACACAAAATACATTTGGTGGCGTTGATGTAAATACTTTTGCTAATTAATCAATTATTTAATTTATTTAATGGGTAATTAATTAATTTTTTTTTTTTCCAAAAGATTGTATGCAATAACGCTGGAATTGCGAAATTTGAATTTTTTGATCAAACTGGTAGATTATATATTTGATTTGAGTGACCATTCTTGCATGAACCTTAACTCATATATTTAAAATAATAGATAGTTGGATAAAGACTATCGATATTAATTTAAATGCTGTAATCAAAGGTACACAATTGGGAATTCAATTTTTGAAAAAACGTGGTGGTGGTGTTATTATAAATACAGGTTTGTAAACAACGATACTTGATATCAAAAAAAAAACGAACTTACAAAGTAAATTATTTTATCTGTAGCTTCGCTTGCTGGATTTTACCCATCGAAATTCTTAATATATGGTGCCTCAAAATATGGCGTATGTTTATAATCTTTTTTAATTTGCAATCAAATTATGATGGTACTGTATTAATGATCTTTTATTTAATAATATTTTCTAGGTCGTTGGTTTTACACATTCACTATGCGAACTAAATAATACAGATAAAATTCGTGTAAATGCTATTGCTCCTGGATTTGTGAGTAAGTTAAAAAAAATATATTGTCATTATTTAATGAATCTATATTTTTACTGTTAATTATCAATCTTTATAAATTTTAATAAAATTTAATATTTACATAGATACACCTCTGATGCAAAATGTGGTCAAAATAATGCCTACAAGTGTACAA